TCTCACTTGTTTATTTTCTTCTAACTTCTTTCTCTCCCGCTCGAATTTGACATTGTTGGCTCAAGTGTACGCAGTGCCGGAGTTTTGCTGATTTCGAGTGATCGCACTCTTGCTTTGGCATTTCCTGTGAACGGACGAGTTGCGCGCACCTCTTTTAGACTAATCGGCTACTTCCATTTGATTCTCACGTTGAACGTATACGTCGTGGGCGGTTGGATACATGAAAATGAAGCGCGAACAGTTTGTGACCTTTAAGGGTACATACAATTTCGTTGGCGTTTTGGCGTAGTAATAAAAACTCGGGTGAATAGATAGCGGATGAATAGGCAAGGAGCGAATTATTTCTAGTCTATGAAAGTGGCGACGTGCTACAGTAATGACGTGCTTACGTTCCTCACCACAGAGGGTCAGCTTGAATTGCTAGACCCCGACAACCATCGACACCACATTCATACACAACAATGAGTACACGTGACATGTTCTACGGGTGCATAGAAAGTTCCAAAACATTTGACGCGCATAATTACTCGTGGTTTGAAGCATGCTACGCAGTATAGAGAATGTAGCTATATTTGAAAGTTTCACTGACACAAGCCACGTGCAACTTTACTGATTACATTGTAGTATTCCGCACTTTAAGTTTCTCGACAGACATCAATAAATATAAAGTTTGAACTAAGTGCTTGAAGTATGCACTATTGACCGATTAACACTATCGCGTTCAACTTTTAGAGGTCAAGCTTAGGGGTCCCCCAATTTTTTCACCTATATCTGTATAAAATGGCACCTTAATGGAGATCCCCTGTTAGTGCGTGCAAAAAGCTGCTGAATCACAGGATTTTCTTTTTGTAACTTGGAGCACCAGTCTCTGGTTACGTTATATCACAGGGGCCTATCAGACACAGCGCACAGAATTTTATGACGGTCAACAATTGAATGAATGAATGTTTATTGTATAATCTATTCACAAATAACAAACACTTGTCAGACCTATTGCCAAAGGCTGCTTGAAGGTTCAAGAAAAAAGATAACTGATGGGGATATCCTTGCACAGCAAGAAAAAAAATGAAAAAGTATCATGGCAATATTTCAAATACAGAAAAAAATCAAAATTATTTGATCAAATCCGTAGTAAATATTCATATCAACCAACAAACTTCATACAATAGAGTACCTAAGGACTAAGTATTCGGGCTACATACAGATACACTTAAAGGATACGAAGCCATTGATCAAGAAGCAATCAATACAAAAATCCATTTTATGTGAGTTAGTATACAAAAATGACTAGGTGACCCGAAAAATACGTACTTTGTGAGAACGATAAAAATATGATCATATGTTACATAATTACAAAACAATATTGCATGTCAATAATTGCACAGAAAGAGCGGCAACCACATACGTGTACAATTCACAACCTTGTACAAAATACTAAGGAAACTTCTATGTTTTATGCTGTCTGCAACTAAGAAAGAAAATATTGTCCCAGGGCTTTAGGAAAGTTTGTCGAATCAATCACTAGTATAGAGAGTGTGTCCCAGGTCTTTATTATTGTGAACTGCAGCATATGTTTTCCGTGTACATTGTTACATGGCGGGAGGTTAAATTGAGCAGAGTGACTTGTTGGGCGAGTAGTTTCATTCTTAACGAGCTTAACGTTTTTTTTTCGCGCCATAAGCTCGTTAAAGTGAGCTTTTGTTACACTTCTAGTACAGCTCGAGGATGAAAAAAATATGAATGAGCTGAATGGAAGATTGAATATTACGAACTTATAAATGCACATTATAAATGCACATTTATAAATGCTCAGCTGTCCCAAGCTTTTCAAAGGTAATATGCCATAAGGACGCATGCTGAGAAGGCATGTTGGTCGTTTTCTGATCACGCAGCACAATAGATATGACATTATATTCATCATCATCATCATCATCATCATCGTCATCATCATCATCATCCTGACTACGTCTACTGTAGGACAAAGGCCTCTCCCATGTTCCACCAGTTAACCCGGTCCCGTGCTTGCTGCTGCCAATTTATACCCGCAAACTTCCTAATCTCATCTGCCCACCTAACCTTCTGTCTTCCCTTAACCCGCTTGCCTTCTCTGAGAATCTAGGTAGTTACCCTTAATGACCAGCGGTTATCCTGTCTACGCGCTACATGCCCGGCCCATGTCCATTTTCTCTTCTTGATTTTAACTATAATATCCTTAACCTCCGTTTGTTCCCTAATCCACTCTGCTCTCTTCTTGTCTCCTAAGGTTACACCTACCATTTTTCTTTCCATTGCTCACTGCGTCGTCCTTAATTTAAGCTGAACTCCCTTTGTAAGTCTCCAGGTTTCTGCTCCGTAGCTAAGTACCGGCAAGATACAGCCGTTATATACCTCCCTCTTGCGGGATAGTGGCAATCTACCAGTCATAATTTGTGAGTGCTTGCCAAATGTGCTCCACCCCATTCTTATTCTTCTAGTTACTTCAATCTCGTGGTTCGGCTCCGCAGCTATTACTTGCCCTAAATAGACATAGTCTTTTACAACTTGAAGTGCACAATTACCTATCTCGAAGCGCTGCTCTTTTCCGAGGTTGTTGTATACATTACTTTCGTTTACTACAGATTAATTTTAAGACCCAACTTTCTGCTCTCCTTGTCTAACTCGGTAATCATGAGTTGCAATTCGTCCCCTGAGCTAATCAGCAATGCAACGTCATCGGCGAAGCGCAGCTTACTACAGTACTCTTCATTAACTGTTATCTCTAACTGTTCCCATTCTAGGCTTCTGAAAACCTCGGATATGACATGTTCTGAATAAAGAAAATTCAGTTACATTGCAATGGCGAGAGCATCTAATTAAGCAAGGCTATTTTTTTACACCCAGTCTTGCGTAACTCTACAAAACGCTGCGGCAACAGAACACAGCCGCTCTCGATAGGAAAGGAAATTTTGCACTGTCTATTCTGGTTGAGCACGATGAACGTAGAAGAGTATACAAGGCGTCCGCTGATGCCCGTAGATATAGCATTCGCGACCGCGTGCTTATAGTCAACGTTAAAAGACGAGAGCCCCTACCCTCCTCCTCTTTTCATGCTCCTTCAAAACAAGCAGGGGTGTTTACGCTCTGCTTCAGCTGCATTTTATGGCATGCTTCAACCACGGGTTATTCTTATCGCACGCACCCTCTGATCGACGGAGATTGGCCGATAAGTTTGATCAGCCATGTTCATTGCCGCCATTCACGCGCTATTACCCGCGCGTAGATCATACGGTGCACAAGGTAAGGATGTGAATGGGACCTTTTTATGGAACAATACGGCAATGGCGACGTCGAGAATCTATTATTAGTGTCCATATAACTGATATCGCACTAACAGGCGGTTGAGATAAAACATGAAATTTAGGTTTACTGGAATTCTATTTTCTATAGCCTCTCTAAAGCAGCCCTAGAGATTAACATACGTTGACATCCTATAAACTGGACAGAGTTCTCGTCATTTTAATTGGCAGATGTAACTTAAGATGGTAATCAATGTAATGCGAAGCATGGGCAAGGAATAGGACCATGTGGTAATTTTTAATAACGCCAAACATTATGAAACCATGCTAAATAGATGTACAAATGTCGTCGCTAAGACGTATATTGAACAGTCGCGCATGCTTTAACAACCAGATGTTTACAGAGTTTTAACGATGCCACCAGCCCTATGGTTATTAGTAATCACAACACCAGAAGAGCTAAGCGGATATGTAGCACCATGCTTGCGAGAATAGCAACTATGTTTAGTGGTACATCGACAAACTTTAGCGAATGATGATAAAGTATGTAACTAACGCTAAGCTGACGTGAATCATGTGTCTTTGTACATATGTGCTGTTTATGCGTTTAAATTGTCAGTCATGCATCCACAAATCTCTCTCCCCCCTCTTACATTTCACCTCATTTCGATCATTGCTTTAAAGTAGGTGTGCCATTTTGCCGAACAAACCACTACAGGGATTCCTTCATTCCCAGAACAAGCAAAGACTGGAACTGCCTTTCCGCTGCCACCGCATCCCTCATCAACCCTGCAAACTTCAAACTCTCCGTTTTGCAGCAATTGTAACATTTCGCTTACTTTTTGTTGTATAACCCCCACTCTTTTCTGTAAAGCCTTTGGGCATGAAAAGTATTCAAATAAATAAATAAATAAATAAATAAATAAATAAATAAATAAATAAATAAATAAATAAATAAATAAATAAGCCGTTTCGGTAACATTGCGCCTGCATAGGGTGTTTTTCCAAAGCAGTGTCGAGACCTAGCGCTGTGGTGCAGTACTTGATTGCCACGCAGAATGCTTTGTTTTGCTTCCAGCTGGGACCTCGATATTTACCTTTTAAATTCATCGGATAGATAAATAAATGTTAGAGAAATAGATAGCTAGAAAGTAAAAAAATGTTTCACATTTAAAGAAGCAACGGCAAAAACTACAATTTCGTCGTAAACTGTGCCTTGTCGCTATCGCTATTCTCTTAATTCGTGTTCTTTATATCGGTGAATTGTAGGGACCTGAAAAAATCGCAACAAAATCATGAGATTGGATAAAGGAGTTTACACCACAATACGCGTAATAAAAACAAGATTTGTTAATCTAACTTGATCGATCATACTTTTTCCTAGGATATTCAAAAGACTAAAGTGAGAATTACAAATGTACACAAGAAGACTGTAATACGCATGCAGTACTTGCTCTGAAAGTAATAAAAAGTGAAGAAAAACAAAAATACTGCTCAAGATCACAGCGAAAAATTGAAAATGGAACCGAAACATAAATTTCTTTGTTTTGTTTCTGTGTTGACATCTTGTAGGGTACTGGTGATTCAATTCACGGACCATAAAAAAAAAAAACCCGACGCGCGGCGTTGAACCTATGTCAGCGCCATGATGTTGCGCCCCGAAACTGTACGACTAACACCCTCGGCCACAAATGACGTTTTCCTTTAGAAACCAAGGAATGTATTTCATTCCGGGCTGGCTACAATTCCTGAATCGGTTTGCACTTCCACATCAGCGAGTCCGTCAGAGCCGGCACGCTGACCAATGTGAAGCTGCTGCCGCAGCACGGCGTTCTCAGTCGCTAGGCGTACCAGGGTCTCTGTCTGGCGAGTCCCAGAAGATTCGTCAATCTCTGCCGCACGCCGCATCACCTCAACCATTTCGCAGATCTTGTCAGGGAGGTGGTGGCAGCCCGGTTCACCAAGGCAATGCTCGGCCTGGCGCACAGAGCCCAGACGTGCCACGTGCTCTCGATACTTCGTCATTACTAAATGGAGAGCCGACTGGTGCTCCTTGAGGGCAGTGACAAGCTCGGCATTCTCTTCATGAAGCTGACGCATGCGCCGAATCTCCTGCTGGGTCAGCTCTTCGGGGTACTTGCGCATGGCCTCTGCACCCTGGTTCAGGGCCTGCGCCTGAACCAGCAGGCGGTCAACGTTGCATTCTTGTGCTCGCAGACGTTCCACCAGGCGGCGCGCCTCGCCCAAAATCTCCTGGACGCTGACCGTGTTGCTCATTGCTGCGGGTGGGTTGATCAGCCTTGCTGGTCCTTGGTGAGCGGCCTGCGAACATGCCCAAGGCGGTTGAAGAAGTAAGCAGCCTTCTCTTCGTAATCTAAGTGCCGGTAACCAATCGCGTTCCGACCACGCTCCCGATGCTGAAAGAAATTTTGTTCTATTGATGTCAGCCACGAATGACGCAGAGCCACTGTCGGTAAGCAAGGGTTTATAAGCACACCAGAAGCATCTGAAGTAACGCATTGCAAAACGCGCGTTAGGGAACAATGTTCTGCCAGCTTCAGCAAGTTGAGAGTAACTTCAGTCGAAAGTTGAGTGTCAGAACTACATACGATGCAGTGACCCTTATTATAACCTGCTCAGATTTAGCGCAGTGAACGTCTTTGTCTTGAAAAAATAGGCCACTTTTTCGCCATTTCCGTAGAATCCCATTGTATGATGTTTAACTGCTCTGGGAACAGAATTGAAGCTCTCCACAAGATAATCGCTGCAGTTATCTCATCCGTTTAGGTTCCCAGAGGCACCCTGTAGTCTACGTTTGTCAACGTTCAACCTCTAAATTTTATTTTTCAAAAAAAAAACAGATAAAAAATTACTTATTCCATTGAAAACGCCCTTGAAAACAGACAGCGGCCCAGGCATGGGACCGGCTGGGCCACTGTCTGTTTTGGGTACAGAAAAGCTGAATATGATGGATGAAAAATTTCGAATACAACAACAACAACAACAACAACAAAAAAAACGTGAGCATGGGCCCAGAAAGCTGCTGGGCAACAGCGAACAGTTTCGTCGGGTCCGGGAGAACACCATTCCTAGAGACTACATGACCTGATTGATTTGTGGGGTTGAACGTCCCAAAATTACCATATGATTATGAGAGACGCCGTATTGGAGGGCTCCGGAAATTTCGACCACCTGGGGTTCTTTAACGTGCACCCAAATCTGAGCACACGGGCCTACAACATTTCCGCCTCCATCGGAAATGAAGCCGTCGCAGCCGGGATTCGAACCCGCGACCTGCGGGTCAGCAGCCGAGTAGCTTAGCCACTAGATCACCGCGGCGGGGCAGACTACATGACCTATAAGATTAGATGTTGCCGAGCATCAAAGCAGCCCTTCTTTAGGTGTAGCTGTGAACCGACACAACTGAGGCTAGTGAGCAGCGTTTCGAAGCGATGCTGTTGCAAAAGCCGCTTGAAAATATTGCAGTATTGTGTCAGTAGCACAGACACGTCTGCCATTTGAGGCATACAGGATGTTGTCAATCATGCGCTCGAAAGTAGCAGCCACATTGCCTAGCCCGAATGGCATGACGTTCGGGCTATACACTTGAACGTCAGGTCACTCGGGCTATGCCATTCATTGGGATGAACTCAATATTTACATAAATCGAAAGGCACCTGAGCAGCGCCTTAGCACATATGGTGCTTTGTATATGGGCCGCAGATGCATAAGCGTTTTTATGTAAAAGGGTGCGTATACTGAATGTTCGGAGTATGCGGGAGCTCTCTCGCACTGAATGAATAAATACACCAATTTGCGCTAAGATGTCGCTGGTGAGATTGACGTGCACCACTGAAGTATCCATACTTTTGAAGCTAAAGATATTGCATCACTCCAATCACAGTATTTGGCACACGTCATCTTGATCTGAAGCCAATCGCGCAATTTCATAACCGTCGGTATTGTTGCTTCTGCACACGTCCCGGTTTTACCGAGCCCACTCACGCAGCCCATTCCAAAAGTGCGTGAATACGCATTTTTCAACATCCGCGCTGTACGTACTTCTAATGGCCGAAAGTTAATTAGGAGACAGTTTTTCACGCCTACTTCTTGGAAGGCTTGCAAATCGAAACGATGGGAAGGAAGGCTTAGGTGGCGTTTTGATTACCCACACCGGCGGTGCGATGTTGCAGTTTCGTTTCGACAGTGGCGATACCTCATGGCTCGGATGACAACTCGCAACATGTCATGCATTTGGAATAAATCCAGTAGAAAGATATTCCAAAATATAAACAAATGAAGCTGATCACGCCACACACTCAAAGCCGCAAAAGATGAAAAGGGGTCTGTGGTTCCTTTTTTTGGGTGGTAACTGCATTGCTACAACCATTACTCCCCAAAGGATGAACGATTCGTCCTTTCGGGAGTAACTGTCAGTGGACGCACTGTTAGTCCTCAGCAGTTTTGAGGAACGAAATGTCGAGTAAAATTACCCTTGTATGGGAAGAACTGACTGCGTAGGGACCAACTGTTAGTCCCATCAGTTGCTCCTTCTCGAAAAAAAATCAATTTATTAAAAGTTCTGGTTGAATTACCGGGAACTTGGAGGTTGACGAATGCATTTGACGACATGTACAATCAATACCCAAGAAATAAACTCAAAAATAAACTACAGAAAATTCACGACAGATACACAGGATTCTAGCTCGTGACCATCGGATCAGCAGTAGCGTACACTAACCATTATACCACACTCAAGTTCATAAGAGTGAAAATTACCGGGGCATATGTAGGCACCGTCTGGACGCTGCGCGTTCTGCCATGTTGCTGAAACTCTAAAAGATTCCTTATTGGTCTTAAGCCGTCAGTGTTTGGCAAGCAACCATTAGGTGATCACATTCGTGCAAATGTGAAGTACGTTTGAGTAGGTATTTCTGCGCGCGTGGTTCAGGTGCATTTGTGTGCTTGATGAGCGTATACGTATATATAAATGTTCCCGTATATATTTGCTGTCGCTGTGCCAAGCTTGCTCGCTTTATAGAGCACAGAACGCGGTTGGTAATGTTGTTCAGCGAAAATGTCTGTTTAATGAGAAAAAGAAAAACGTCAACGTGTAAAGAAACAGCCAAGTTTATTCAGCGACTCCTGTGAATTCTGCACCATCGTGCGCACACATCAATTCAGCACCTCTTATTAGTACAAAATATACACTCTAGCAGAGACAATAAAAAAACAATGCTTCATTGGAATGGATGCTGTCCAGCCAACTTAACGAAGTGCATCTACGCCATCGACAGCTGCTGAGAGCGTGTTCGTAGCTGCAAGCTATTGACTTTTCTCGGAAGGTGCAACGCTTTCATTCATAGATTTCTGGAAAAAGTGATTTTAGAAGCATTTATTACTTTAGACAGAACTGTTTGTGCACTTGTAGTTACGTCCAATCGCTTGAAAATTCAACGAAAACTGCTTTTTTACAGAACCCGGCATATTGTAATGGAACAGTTCAAAACGTGTTATGAAGTTCAAGAAGCCCGTTCTCTAGTTAAACGCTTCAAGCTTTCACTGCGATACGCATGTGGGCCCACTTGTTTATCAATGAAGCTTGGACTTCATTTTAGAGGTATAAAACTGAAACATGCCTAGCATCGCTACGAACGAGCAAAATTGCCGACGTGATCACCGACTGCCTGTGTCAGTGGTGTCAAGCCAAGCTGTACATGCAATGTTCACTGCTGACCTTAGTTGCTTACATTGTAAAAGATGGCATTGTGTGAAGGTTAAATGGATTTTTTAAAGGTGAGGAAATCTCTGTAGAACAATCCTTATTTGTGCTGCATTGAAAGTAAAAGAATTTATGAACATCTGTACTTGCTAGAGCTAATGGCGACGTTTCATTGGCTTATGCACATTTGTAATTCTATAGCAGACGGGGCAGCTCTCGCAACGCTGTATAGTGCGAGCTCACTAACCATGCGGGTTTTCTTCGCGAAGAAGGTGAGTGTTAAACAAACGGTGCTCGTTACACATCAACAGCACAAACGTAAATCTTGCGGAGTGATGGCAGTCATATTTACACTCACCTTTCAGGTGATATTACAGTTGACACGTAGCATTTCGATAGCGTAGCACTTCATTCCAGTATCGGATCGCGTTTCTTATGGCGCAGAGATGATTTAGTGCACCTCAAGAGACAGCAATGCCAACCACGTAACGATAACACATGCACAGCACTACACCAACGAGGGTTGCTTTGACGAGAACACCACGCCACGCATTGATACAGCTTGAGCGCGAGCACCTTTTTTTTTTGAGGATGGGAGCTTACACATTTGCTTATATTTATGCTATATAAACAATATTACTTTCCCCTTCACGTAGTTGCCATAGTTCTCAAGACCATTTACACGAACTCAAACTGTTAACAGCTCATTGCTTTCGGGAACTATTTGCTTACGCGCATGCTGACCATTCCTTCGAGGTCGCCTCTGTGCCGGCAAGTTCTACGGGAGTAAGCGTTGCTCCGCATGGTCTAACAGTTCCTCCCTCTGTTTGCACATGGCACTCTCGTCTTGCAGTTAATCCCTCCACAGACTAACTGTTGGTTTCAGGGACAAAATGCAGCACTTACTCCAATTTCGCTCCTATTCGCTCCTTTGCGGCTTAGAGTGCAACCTTCAAGTCGACGGTAGCTGGCGCCACTTGGACAGAATGAAACCTAATTTAAAGAATGGGTACAGTCTCAGCAGCTCATGAGGGATGGACTTTGTAGGGGCATTGTCGAGTTGATTCATTATGACAAAAGATTATGACGCCGCAAATAGGTGGAAATTGAAATGCACGTTAGGAAGAATACACGCAGTCTAGTTTTGGTCATCATCAACATAATCTTCATTATTATCACCATGACTACGCCCACTACAGGGAAGATGCCTCTCCCATGATTCGCCAATCATCCCAGTCTTGTGGTTTCTGCTTCTACGTTACACCTGCAAGCTTTTTAATCTCATTGGCCCACCTACTGTTTCCCCCCTCGCGTTTGACTTCTCTGGGAATCCAGCCAGTTACGCCTAATGACCAGCGGTTGTCTTGCCTCCGCGCTTCGTGCCCGGCCTATGTCTATTGCTTCTTGATTTCAACTATGATATTGTTAATAGCCATTTGTTTCCTGACCCACTCTCCTTTTTTCTTGTTTTTTGAGATTACTCCTATCATTTTCCTTTCCATCACTCACAGCGTTGTCCTCAATTTAAGCGGTAGCTTCCTGTAAGCCTCCATGT